GCAGGACCGAGGTAGTTACTCCTACACACCCTCTAAACCTCTTGTACTGTCCTCACAAACCGCCACTAGCCTTTTCCGCGCACTTTGTCCTCACTCATGCACGACCTAAGAAACTTCCCAGTGGTCACCCATCCTAAGACTACTCCCGTGCAAGCATGCTTAACTTTGAAGTTCTCAGCTGATGAGCTCCCTTAAAAGGAGATGCACCTTGTTGATATGAGTAGTACTATTAATCCGTTTATATTAAATCTCAAGTTTTACACCTCAGCCGTGATGGACTCCTCGGGGCTCTCGGCCTCCTGGTGGATGATGCTCGTCTCACGACCCTCAGCCGTGATGGTCTTCTCTAGCAACCAAACGGGGAGATGATTGCCCGGAAGAACTCCGAGCGACGGCGTTTTCAGAATATGGAGCGGCAAGTGTCGCATGGCACATAGGAATGGACTAGCTGAGCGGTGGACGACGGCAGGCTGGAGACAGGCCGTCTATCCCTGTTATCTTCGTCGGTTTTCTTCGAACGAGATATGTTATCCCTGTCTAAACGGAGACTAGTTGGTCATCGGCGATTGCTCAAATGAGATCTTCTACCTTCGCCTGAATGGGGACTGGTCTGGCCCTGGAGCTAAGCAGTGTCATATCAGAACTTTGGGCGCTGGCTTTTGGAAAATCTTCCAATCGGAACAAATATGAGGTGTGTAGACCCCATCTTCCTAGACCCTCCTCGATGCGCAGTTTCCCGTTCTGGACGAAGGTTTATTTGAATCCCTTGATACTCTAGCGAAGCTAAACCATGCCCCCATAATCTTTCCCGCTCTAGAAACCCAATAATGTGGGTTGCCTGGTGTAGTCATGTACTTGCCGTAGTTACCATGTCTATCAGTGCTAGGTTGGGACAACCTTCCAATTGGGTGGGTTTTGAAGTTCTCGTTCGGGTTGGACATCTTTTGGCGAGTCAGGAAAAATGTGCCGAATGGGGGATCGCTGTCGGATTACGGGGATATGACATCCAGGGAAATCTACGACGTTCGGGGCAAGGGGTGTGGTTGTCAAGATCGTTCCTTCAACTGTTCTGAACGGCTTCTTTTATGTTGTGTTGTTTCGGCCCGGGAGGTGATTAAGCCGTTCTGGATTATGTTGACCTGCCGCCATCAGGGTATGGCCAACCCTCTCCCCGGGCTCGGTCGTTGGTTAGGGGTAGACGTGGATATCGAGCACGCTCGGCAGGATGCTATGTTGATGTGCATGGTCTTTCCTGCAGGTACTATAGAGTAGTCACGTATTCTAAAGGCTCCCATTTTAGATGGTGAACTAGTGGTGTGGGATTCCCGTCGGGTGCAGTCATTCGCTCTGGCATTCGGGAGTCGGGGTTCACTTTTGGATAGTGATGAATCTGTCAAATCAGCCATGTGATTAGGAAGCAATTTGTCCTTATATCCTTACTGCAAGCTTGTGGCGACGCGGGGCCCACCTTCAGTCTTTTTCATCCACCAATAGTTTTTGGAGGTCACCCTCCTTGGCCTTCTGCTTCTGCCTTAACAATGTTCCTTAGGATAAGGCAGCAGCTACTTGAATGGTGACCGGCCGCTGGACTAGTCTTTTTCCTGTCTTTCTTCAGGGAGTTTTTTTGTATGGGTCCAGATGTGAACATTCGAGATCCTTAACTTCCTAACCTCCTTTTTCGCTGGAAATCTGTTCCCTTGTGCATGAATTTTGTGTAGAACACATGAATCTTTTTGAACAAGATTCCCACAGACGGCGCCGATGTTGAGTTTAAGTCCAATATAAATTGATATATATAGATATATATGTATGAAATGCTCTGTTTTTACGTGAAAACCTGGAAATTAAAGGGAGAAAACCACGAGACTTTTTAGGCTAACGTCCAAGCTTGCTCTTTCTCATTAACACTCTCAGCTCCTCACCATTTACATAGTACAAGTTTTGGGATCCTCCATTAATGGAGTTGATGAGCTTATCTAACCTAGAAATTAAGAAGAAGGAGTAGCAGGAGAGAAGTCTAGCTCTCTAGGAGAGAAGAGGAAAAGGATCCCTTAGAATGGAAGCCTGGTTTCCTATTTATAGAGTGGGGGGGGGGGGGGGGGGGGGGGGGGAGCCTTTCTTTCCTAATGGGCCGGAAAGGCCTTAATGGGCCGAAACAACCCCAAGTGGGCCGAGGAGCCTAAATGGCTCTAAATGGGCCCGAGGGGCCTAAATGGGCCTCGTCGTCTGGGCTCCATACCGGGGTGATGCCTTGAGCCTCTGAATAGTAGTAGGCCGGGATAATATTCTCCAACAGGTATTTTATTCTAAAAATTAATTTAACACCACCTCTATAATTGGAATGAGGGTCAAAGTATAAATATATACGAAATAATTACATATTTATCACTAAAATAAAGGTAGTTTACAAGAAGTGTTGTCTTAAGTGTAGTGACAATGACATTATATCGTAGTAACTTATAGTGATATTTTTGTAAATAATTTATTTCAGAAATATTTTTGGAATATTATTTAAAGTGACACACACACACACACAACATATATATAATACATCGCGACATTTGACATCAAACCGGGCAATTGTACCTATAAAAGCATCATATTTGACCATCAAATAAGTTTTATTTGATGGTTTGAATTAAAATGTTGATGGTTTGAATGATCTAATTTGAAATAGAAAACGACTTTTGTATCATTTTTATTATATACTTGAGTTGTTGGGATATGAAGTACTATTTAATTGATTAGTATTATTATTGGTGATAATTGATACTACCTTCACGGTTGATACTACTATATAGTGATAATTGACACTAATCGACATGAGGGAGTGATGCGATTACTAGGAAAAGTGATTTATGTGATTGATATTAAATTGATAGTGTAAGAATAAAATAAAAATAATTTAGAATCAAACAAATTTTACATAATTTGGTATACGATAATCTTAGTGCGTGGGACGTGAGAAGTATCATGTAATGTCGTCATTTGCCTATTTGAAAACCTAAAAATTGACTCGAAAATTGTAGAAGACATACAACTATTAATAAGTATATTTTTAATATAATGTCAAAGAAGTAGTATTTAGTTTAAAAAGTTTTGATACCATTGAAATGAATCACCGGCTCTGTTATTGTTGGTGAAAAAATTGATTGATAAAATAAAATAATAGGATTACTACAGAACTAGTGGGATTCTTGGCAACATTTGCGCTAAGGAATTTACCAAGCCGAGATATCTGACTCTTTAAAAGCCTGGGGAGGCATGAAAGCTTTTAAAGCATTTAGCATCTATGTTTAAAAAACCCACCCGGCTCGGTCGATTCGAAACCCGACGACCAGGACCGAAACCCTATTTGATTAATCAAAAACCCAGAAATGGTCAAAAATCGGAAAAACCCGGCCGATCCGGCAAAACCCGGTCCAAATCCGGACCTGAAAAACCCAATTTTGGTTGTTTTTCTTTTTTCTTTTTTAAATTTTAAAGCATTTTAACCAATAAAATTGCAATTTCAATACTCTAAAAAGAAAAAATATGCAAAATATTTATATACTATTTATTTGGAATATTATGAGACTTTTAACTTTTAAGTGTATAGTAAGTATTATTATTAGTTGATTATTATGAAATAACTACCTTTTTTTAATTTTGTATACAATTATATGTTTATTATTGTTAAATGGTTGACCAGTTTTATAGTGTTGACCGGATTGACCCAACCAGGTCCGGGTTGACTCGTGACCCGATCACACGACTGGGTCGCTTCTCGATCCGGTTTCTTAAACATAGTTTAGCATATGCACTTGAAATATTTTAATAAGAACGTTTTAAAACGGACTCTGAGGGGTTTTTGACTGTTTTTTGGACATAATAAAGGCCATTATAAAGGTTCAGGTGTCTTGTTTTGAACAGAAAAATGTATAGCTCTTGTTTCATAGTTAGAGCAAAATTATACGAGCAACTTCATAAAAATGGGTAATTTTGGACACCATTACTTGATACTGTTGATCGAGGACTGGCTAGAGAACACACAATACATGAAAGCATTGCAAAAAAAAACTTTGACAAGAGTTATGATATAAAATTGCATGTTTGATATATTGTCAATAAACTTGCCAAAGAAAGGGAAGACAGATAAATCCTAACTAGGAGTAAATAAGTTTTGAAGTTTCAAAATAGGATTGTTATGTTTTTCTTCTGAAAATATGAGTCATTACTCCTTTGATTGAAAAATAATGTCATTAATTGCAGTTAATACTGTCATGTTAATGCTTAATATTGCAACTATTTGACAGTAGTGATTCCAAGATGACAGTAAATAGTATCATGTTACTCATATTTCGAGAAAACAAATATAACAGTTCTACTTTGAAATTTCAAGACTTGTGGACTTCTGTTTCGGGAAATTTCTCTAACAAATACGAAAGATGCAAACTAAATTATCTAGTTCAAGTAACTTCGTCAAAATATTCACTTATAAATAACGAAACTATATATACAAACTAACTTGCTATGATATAGAGATCATTCATCTCAAACTTAGTAAGCTCATGAATATATTATTATAGTGGAAAAAGTTTCAAAATACAAACTAATGGACTTTTGTATGCATGATACTCCAATATGAGTGTTAATATAAGTCGCACACTCACTAAATATTATCAATCCTGTCATGTTAATGTCTAGTATTCCAATTATTTAATAGTAATGACCCGATTATAGTAAATAGTGTTAACAAATACGACATATGTGTTATTAAGTTTCGGGTTACATATTAAGGTTTTTTACTTAGATACATTTAAACAGATCAGATCAAATTTGAACGGATTGACTCAAATAGAACAAACCAAAAGAAACTACACTTGACTAGACTTTAAAAATATTTTTCAAACATTAAATTACTGTATCTAATATGTTAATAAATAAAATATAGTTAATGTAAAACTATTTAAAATTTAACATGGTGAAACTATTTTACAATAGACCGGATATGCTGTATTGTTACGTTTCAGTTTGACGTTGAAGTTTTAGTAGGAGTTAAGAACCCCGCTTTTATCGGTTTAACTTAAAAAAAAAGGATGACACTTCATCCCGATCGGACGGTACGTTGGCAGGATGTAAATTGAACTATAATCTCAATGTGACAGTAGAGAATGAAGTTCTTCGATACTTTCGATCGGACGGTACATTGGGGGATGTAAATTGAACTATAATATCAATGTGACAGATAGAGAGTGAAACTCCTGTATACTTGTAGAGGTCCCACACAGTTTAACTTTTTATTAATCTGTTTTACCTCATCCTACCCCGCCGTTCGAGACATACCCTGAATACTCCATGTTCTCTTTGTCAGGAAGTGCACCATAATCAGTCTACAAGTTTCTTTCTTCTTTCTATGAAGTATAGCTAGTAGCTACAAAGGCAGACATTGCCGCGGCGTCGTTTTACAGCTTCCTAGCTACCTAATGCGAGCTCCTTGCTGCTCCGTACTTCGACCGCTCTCTCTCATTTCCCCTTCTCTCGTCTCTCTTCATTCAATGACATTATGGAGCTCTTGAACCCGTGATCCATTAAAGCTCTCACGTTTCCGGTAATTTCTTCTTTCTCTCCTTTATTTTCCACTTTCAGCCTTTTCTTTTCAGCGCTTATTAAATCTGTAATCTTGACTATAGCTTTATCAGGACTTGTTACTTCTTCATTTTCTTGGACCGCTGCTTGCAGTATAATATATAGTGTCAAAATGTGTGTTTTCTAATTTCGATTTAGATCTTTTACCTGCATTTAGGTACCCTTTATTTGTATACTTTAATTTAATGTTTTTCTTTTTCATTTCATTTATTGCTGATAACAACGTTCTGGCCTCTGGGACAGTACTATTTAGCTATGCTTTCCAATTCCAGATCTTCCCTAGATTTCCAGTTCGGAAGAAAGAATTTAGAGCCATTGCAGTTGTGCTTTATGCTTACCGCTCTTTTTAAATGTACTTTTGGGGTTAAGTTTTTGTGCAATGTGCCTCAAGAAATTATGTTAAGAAATATAGTTGGGATTAAAAATTACTGCGGATTTCTATATTGTTAGGCATGGTTGTTGAAGTATAGATAGTATTTGGAAAGCCTTACAGGCTTTCGGCCCATTTGATATATTGATGATCTCTGTTTTGTTATGCAGGAATTAAGATGCCATACCACTAAGTTGATAAACCACGATTTCAATAGAACGACATGGAGCAATATGAAATTCTTGAGCAGATAGGAAAAGGGGCTTTTGGGTCTGCCCTTCTTGTGAGGCATAAACTTGAGAAGAAAAAGTATGAATATATAATACATTTGTTCACTGTTGTTGCATGTTTTGAGAGCCCATGTTTGTCTCTGCTTGTGTTGTTATGGTGCTACTCCATTTTTGGAGTGTGATAAATAATTTCTCCTCTGTCTTTGCTTTGCTTTTTTGGCTCAAAATAAGATATGTTTTGAAGAAAATCCGTCTTGCTCGGCAAACAGACAGGACCCGTCGCAATGCACACCAAGAGGTTGGTGTTTTTTGCCTTAAGTATTGTCTCCCGCCATAATTTCATTGTAGTTACATTCAATTGATTTTTTTGGTGATCCTGAGAGTTTTATGGTTGCCATGTATTTTTAAGTGAAAATGTTTTGAGAGAGGTGTGTAAGAAATAGTTTTTTAACTGTAAATAATGATATATGGAATTTTCCCGTGTTGAAGAATTACATAATTTTTGGAAATCATCACTATATATCTGTGTGGGAATATCCATCTAAGAAAAGTGTCAAAGCGTGTGTACTGAGCTCATACTTTGTATGCCTTTGAACTTTTTTTTGTAGATGGCCCTAATTTCGAAAATGAAAAATCCATTTGTTGTGGAGTACAAGGACTCCTGGGTGGAGAAGGTTAGTGCTGTGACTAACTACTTTACTTCATGCCAATCTCTTTTATGCCTTTTTTGGACCATCTTCAATTTTTTACTGTGGACTATGGAAGTCAGTCTTTCAATTTTGAAGAATGCAATGCCCCCCTTTTAATTGTTGTAGTTGGAAAAGTTTATCTAGCAATTTATCAATTATTTAAAAAAACTGTATCTCTTGGGCATTTATTTCATGGTGATATCATATACTCCGTATGAAACTTTATAGAGTAACTAACAGTATATCATGACCAAAGTAAAAGCATCTAGTCTTCTTTGGGTTTTTGGTGAAGTGTTTATATCTGGTTCACTATGGATAGCATAAGCTATAACTTATCCTGTCATTGATCAGAACTGTAACAAATTGCCTTTACTCTGTGAATCACAATTACCTTGCTAAGTTCTGACATAGTGCCTTGTCTTTCAGGGTTGCTATGTGTGCATAATCATTGGTTACTGTGAAGGTGGCGATATGTAAGTTACTTTAGACATAAGATTGATAAGTTAAAGTAAATTGAAGGTATCAATGTATATCATCATTCTGCAGATATTCTGACCCTCTTTTTTTCCTCAATTTTTTGCAGGGCTGAAGCAATTAAAAAAGCTAATTGTATCCATTTTTCTGAGGAGGTAAATTGTTTACAGCTCGCACCTTTTACTTTCATGTGTTAAAAGTATGTTAAGAGTTACTAACTTGTATTGTAAACTATTTATAGAAACTTTGCAGGTGGCTTGTTCAACTTTTAATGGCTCTTGACTACTTACACATGAATCATATCCTTCATCGAGATGTCAAGGTTTATTGCACTTTTCTTTCTTCTTGTTAATTGCCTAGATAGTTGGCTTTTGATCTTTTTGAGCTGTAAGTTAGCCACTTTTAAATATCTCTCTCTTGCAGTGTTCAAATATTTTTCTAACCAAAGAGCAAGACATTCGCCTTGGTAAGTATGCATTTTTCTATTTGTGGATATGTGTCTTAAAGTCATATAGAGAGATAAATTCTGTAAGGCACACCCGGTGTGATCCTTTTACAGGTGATTTTGGACTTGCCAAGATGCTGAGCTCTGATGAATTAGCTTCATCTGTAAGTTAGAATTGCAGTATTGATGTATTGGCTGTACTTAAAACCTCTACCTTTTGCATTCTATCAATTGTTTTTTGCTGGACTTATTGCTGCAGATTGTTGGAACTCCCAGTTATATGTGCCCTGAGCTTCTTGCTGACATACCTTATGGATCTAAATCAGATGTATGGTCTCTAGGTATGTGAATTACATGTCACACAACATGCGTATTTGGTCGCTAGGTATGTTAGTGAATTACATATATGAGACAACCGTATACATGCAAGAGTGGTGGTTCTTGTTTAAGAAATAAGTTTGTGATGCTACTATTTTTACGCTCTGATATCCAAAAGATTGTTTCCTATAGGATGCTGCATATATGAAATGGCTGCACTTAAGCCTGCATTCAAGGCATTTGTAAGTTTCTTCGTGTTATTTGTTAACTTTTCCGTTCTTGTGCCAATCACTCTATGCTTCACTGACCTGCTTTCATCTCTGTGATTTCTATTTTCATTCAACAAATGTGAATTATTTCGTATACTATATGTTAGATCTTGTATATCTGTCGATTTCTTTCAACATGGGTACACCAAATAACTTTGATCCCTACAAATTCAGTAATTGGAATACCTGAATTGGAGCATTGCGTACATCCTATGCCTTATGAAACCATATTTAGGTGTTCTGCTTTATGCATTAATCCTTTCAAAGACTGTTTAATACCAAAAGTATTGCTAAAACTTTTGGTACATTGAGCTAGGCATGACTTTTTTGAGGTAAAAAGTCACGGAATGCTTTTCCAACCTGCTAAAGTCAGAAAGCACTTGTTCAGTGCAGTTTTTCATAAGAAAATCAAATGTGTCATTGTTTTGGTCAAGCATCTGGCTTCTGCAGCTTTGCTTCTTTTTTGGTTATCCTATGTTCAAAAACCTAAATAAACACAACTTCCACCACCAGCTATGTTTGAAAATTTGCATTTGTTTTGAGTTTTTAGTGGGTACTAATTAATGTATACTTGACAATTTTCTCTTATATATAGAGTATGATAATATGACTACTGCTTCATTTCTTTTTTGGTCCGCCTGTTGGTTTCCAGTGGATCGTCCTTATGTTTACAATCTATCACACCTGACCCCTGTGTGTATTCAATTATTTTTTGTTTGTTTATATGCGAGTACTTTTATCCTTTTCACTTTATTACTACTTTGGTTCCTAATCTTGTGCTATGGAACTAATGAAGTATCCTACTTTTTATGAAAGGATATGCAAGCTCTAATCAACAAAATAAACAAGTCTATAGTGGCACCTTTACCTACAAAATATTCTGGCCCATTGTAAGTCTTCTTTATTAGTACAGAAGATTTTGGCTAAAAGAGATACTTATATCATTGTATCTTGTATTTTTTATATCAAGTGCTTCCGTTGTAGCTTTATTTTCCTTCTCATAATAGGCAATTGGCAAAACTGTAGTTCTCATGGAGCAAGGGTCTACTACCTCCATCCCAAAAAAACATGCTTGTAATACTTAAATCAGTATTACAAAAATATGACATTTTTTGCAGGGTGGGGGGCAAGGGGCAAGGAGTATTAGATTAGATTCACTCCAACTCTATGCTTTGTGTGTGTATTACAGCGACCCATTAATAACCCCAATTATGAATCACCAGCACCATCAAACATTGCATATGATTGTTTCAATTTAAGGCCTTCTAGTTCAGTGATGCGCCTGTTCAACATTTTCAGAATCAGTTAATTCAGTCTGTTTGAAGGTGAACAAAAACCCACAATTGTCTTGGTGTCTGACTGTGTGTGGAGTTAGGCTTGGCTCTCATTTTCTGTTACTTTCTTTAGTCTCCTGCTGTGCTCTATCTAACTTGTTTTCCTTCCAGTCGTGGTCTTGTGAAGAGCATGCTGCGGAAAAATCCACACTTACGGCCCAGTGTATGTGCTGTCTATCCACTTTTTGTACAACCGCCTGGTATTAGAATAGATGTGCCATGGGCTTGAGATGATTCATAATTTTGATTCATAAACTTGTGAATGTAGAAATTTGTCATGTCAATTACAACTCACAATTGTATGATTGACATGCAGGCTGCAGAGCTTCTTAAGCACCCACACCTCCAACCTCATGTGATTAACACTTATCTTAAACTCAACAGTCCTCGGCGCAATAGTTTACCAAATTACTGGCCTGATAATGATGTAAAGAAATCCAGATTTTCAGGTCCAGAACATTTTCCTTGTTATCAAGATAAGAGATCGTCATATGGCAATGACAGAACATTGAATCCCAGTGTTTCTGGACCTGATCATGATCATTCATTTTCTGCTCGAAAATACTGCAATACACCTAATAGAATGACTGCATTATCTACTGGAAGCACCGAAGGAGGAACAATCACTAAGAAAGTTACTTCAAAGGTTTCAAATGCAGTCAAGAACCCAAAAACTACTTTGTCAAAAATGTCTACTCCGAAGAGACAAGAATCAGCATTGAAGCACAATGAGCTGGTATTGTTATTTACCATACTATTTCCACTTGGTCCTCATTAACTTCACAACCACTAATGTAAAAGAATGGCATATTGAATAGAGTTTCCCATCAGTGAGAATGCTGCTGCCACGTATCTACATGATTGATAGAAAATTCGAAAAAAATAACAAGAGTAAAAAACTATAGCACATTTGCACTGTCAACTTACTCGCATATAAACTCGCTCTCTCTCTCGCTCCACACACACACACAAGCACAATGAGCTGGTATTGTTATACCATACTATTTCCACTTGGTCCTCATTAAGTTCACAACCACTAATGTAAAAGAATGGCATATTGAATAGAGTTTCCTGTCAGTGAGAATGCTGCTGCCACATATCTACTTGTATTGATAGAAAATTCGAAACATATAACAATAACAATAGTAAGAAACTCTAGCACATTTGCACTGTCAACTTACTCGCACATAAACTCTCCCTCTCTCTCTCTCTCTCTCTCTCTCTCTCTCTCTCTCTCCACACACTCATAGATGCACAAACACACAGAGAGATAGATATATATTGATGCTTAACTCATTACATGAAGGCTGTGGCATTATATTTCAGGAAATATTGAGGGCTGTGGTGTGGGGTTGTATTATATCTTCTCTATTTACTTCTTTATTCCCTTAAATTTTGCAATGCAAGTTCTGTATTATATCTCTATTGACTTCTTTATTTCCTTAAATTTTGCAATGCAGGTTCCTACTTCAAGAACTTTGGTGAAGAGATCTGTTTCCACATCTTGTAGAGCATCTATGCCCTTGACCACCAAAGCTGCTGTTCAAGAGGAACCACGCAGGGCCAGTCATGGTGTCCTTGATTGCTACAAATCTCGTGATATTTCTGTTAATGCCCCCCTAATAGATAAGATGCTTGAGTTCCCTTTAGCCTCGTATGAAGACCCTTTCCATCCTATCCGTAAAACTTCATCAACCTCCGTGCAAGGTTCATGTGGGTCGCCTGAAGGGAACTGTTCAATTATGAAAGATAAATGCACAGTCCAGACTTCTGACAACAAATCTGATAAACTGAGCTCCACTGGTGGCTGGCAAGGATTTACAAACCCTATGCTGGCATTGGATAGAGAGGATGGAAGTGATTGTTCCGATCAAAATGCAACTGCCGGTGCATCCAGTCGAACATCATCAGACCAAAGGCGTCGGCGTTTTGACATGTCCTCTTACAAACACAGAGCTGAAGCATTAGAAGGTCTACTTGAATTTAGTGCAAGGCTGATGCAAGATGAAAGGTTTGAAGAACTCGGTGTTTTACTAAAGCCATTTGGGCCAGGGAAAGTATCTCCTCGCGAAACTGCTATATGGTTGTCCAAGAGCTTTAAAGAAAACACTTGCATACCTGAAGAGTAGTTCCTTTGAGCACCCAAATGTCTGAGTAGTTTCTATGAGTACTCAAGGTGTGTAAAGTAGTCTCTGCATTTAATAACAGTTTTAGGTTTTCAGATATTTGTATTTTGTATGCAAAAGCGATTCTAGAACCTGTTGTTGTAGGTTATGTAGATTAGAACCCATCCCATTTAACTTCATTGTGTCCTGGAAGTGCTGCCTAGCTGAGGAGGAACAAACTTAATGTTGTTTTAGCATCCTTAGGAGTTTTAAAGAACATAAAATTGATGGTAGATTTGGTTTTCTGTCTTTCCTTATTGAACAAAAAGGGCTGCACACCAAATTTGAGAATGTGTACTTCTCGCTGATTTGGATGGCATCATTCAAACTGATCAAGCGAGTAAAGGTGCATACATAATAATTACCCTACTTAGTCAATAATTATTACGTAGTATGTCTTACAGTTTGGTGCTTTTAAATTTCAACACTTATATTTAATAGATTTTTAACTAAAAAACAATGGAGTTAAACAAGATGAGTTGGAACAAGGGAATTATTATTAATTACTATGATTTCATTACTACCCTAATAATCACATATTTATTACTACAATAATTGTTTACAAAAATCTGACTTGTGACTAGAGTAGTAATGAATTCATAGTAATTTATATTCAATTTTTAAACTTAAGTTACCAAACACTACATTGTAGTAACTATTAGTCATGTTTTTATAAATAAGTTTTATTTTGGTAATATTTAAAAAGAAACTCATTTATTTATAGCTTGTGTTTCATTGACCGTGTAATGGCTCATTATAATAGTTGATGCGTTTTTTTTACAGGAAACAATTTATATTAGAATCAAACAAACCAGTACAATATTCATGTCCCAAGACTTAACTTTCCCACTAGACCAACTAAACCAAAAGTCCATTGGCCCTCTCACGTCATGTCCAGACATAGAATAGTCCACCCTTTAGAGAGCGAGACTAATCCCTGAAACGGTGAGAACAAAGAGGCTATTAGCGGCTGAATCAGTCCGATTGCCTCCATCCAGAAAAAGTCTGATCACAAAACAGCGATCCACCAAACCAGTACCCTTATTGTAAGTAAAAATAAAAAGACTACAATAGACTGAGTTCTGACAAAAAAAAACAAATAACAACATAAATAATAGTCTAGGTGATGGAGTTTGTATGCTTCAATCCCTGCTACTTCATCCGTCACATTTTTTAGTTGTCGGTGAGGCGGGCATTGTAGCCCGCCTCCTCCCCGTTTTTGGTGTGCCCATCTCCACTTCCATGTTGTTTTGCACTGCCTCTGGTTCTCCATGATCCACCCGCCTCCTCTTCTGGTCCATTTTGTCTCCCATATGAGCAGTATCTTTCCCTTTTTGCGTCTCTCCCCGCGCACCGGAACTTTCCATCCCTATCCCCCCTCCTCTTCCTTCCCTTTTCCTTTGCTAGCTGGGACCATCCATTTATCCCCCCCACTGCTACGTTTCCTTTAGACGCTCTCAGCTCAGGCCCAAACAGTAATTCACCACTACTGCCTTTGCTATCAGGGTAGCGCGGGCAAAATCTTTCTGCATGTCCGATAATTCCGCAAGCAAAACAAAAACTAGGCAATTTTTCATACCTAAATTTCGCACAGAAATTTTCCCCTTCATCCGATTGGAGAAACAACTTTCTTTTCAAAGGTCTGTTCAAATCAATATTAACCCTTATCCTCATATAAGGGTTCCATTCAGCAGAAATTTTTTGTTCATCCACCCGAATAAAGTTCCCTACGAAATTCCCAGTTTTTATGGCATTTTTCACAGAAAAAAACCCCATTAGCACAACATGAACCTGTATCCATAAGTCAGCCTTATTCAATGGTACTTTCAAAGGCAAGTCTTCTGACTTTAATTTAGCAAGAACAATGAGGTTCTGGTCAAAAGTCCATGGACCTTCCTCCAGAACATGTGTCAAATCACTTTCACTGTAAAATTGGAACAAATATCTGCGTGCGCCTATCCAAATAATAGTAACACCTCTAACAGGTTTCCACACATTAGCCATAGTATCGCGAAAGAAAGAGAAATGTACCGTCTTTTCAGAAGTAATTGTCCTTACCAGAGTTAATCCTACCTTCTCACTCCCTGATCCTTTGCTTCCACAAAAAGAAATTCATCTTCTTCCTCCATCTCCATTCTGCCATATGCAGTTGCTAGCCTGTCTATCTCCCCAAACTCGTTCATGTCTGTCATCTTCGTCTGGCTTCCACTTGCCCTATGCGGACCGTTACGTTCACCAATGAAGCTGCTGCCGATAAACCCCTTCGACGGGACGCCTATCATCGCACAAGCCAAAATCGCAGTTTGCCTTTGTCCTAGTTCGCCTACTCGCGTACTGTCCACATGTCGAGCGATTACCTTCGCCGACCCCAAATCTTGTAGACAAGATTTTTTAAAAGCCTTTCTTCCCCAAAGGGGTGGATTGGGTCAGGTCGGGTCCAGGTCGGGCTCCGGGTCCATAAATATCAAGCCCGGAACCGGCCCGGGTAGGTACCGCGTCAGGTTGGGCTTCGGCTCGGCTCGGGCTGAATTTTCTTTTCTTTTTGCTTTTTTTGTTAACTAATTCACAAGTGCTACAAAAAAAAAATCAATGTATATTTATTGAAATATGAAGTACAATTTTTAATTGAAAATAATTTCAAACATTAATTACATTTGGTAAAGATCAGTCAGAATCTCCGCCAGAGTCAGATTGTTGTTTCCTCCATGAAGTGGCAGTCGGGGACGATGCAAATTTCTTGAATTCTATGTCGTGTCTTCAACCAATCGTGAAAGCAAATCAGTGTCTGCAGAGATTGTGCGTTCAATCTTGTTCTATAATCAGTGAGGACGTTGTCGGCTTCGCTAAATTCTTGTTTCACGGTTACGATTGACACCGACATTGATAACACTTGCTTGGTCATCTTCGATAAGATCGGGAACATTCCTTCTTTTTCCTTCCACCACTTAAGAACATCAAAGTCATTGCCTTCTTAAGATGAGTAGTACAATTATATTTAATACTTTAATATATATACTTAATATATAAGTATATATATAAGTGTGTGTGTAATATATATATATATATATATATATATATATATATATAGAGAGAGAGAGAGAGAGAGATAAGAGATCAAATACAAATCATGCTTAAAATACTAACCTACAAACTCAATAATATGCATCACTTTGAACTTCAATATGCCGTAAAAATAATGTAAAGATGCAGGGGTGGGATCACATACAAACTAGTCCTTCCATTCAAATCATCTTTGCATAATTTGTATTGCACATTGAAGTTCAAAGATTGCATCTTTACATTATTTGTACTGCATATTGAAGTTTAAAATGTGACATATTATTGAGTTTGTAGGTTAGTAAGTTAAGCATGGTTTGTATGTGATCTCACCCATATATATTAAATATATATATATATATATATATATATATATATATATATATATATATATAGGGAGCGGTTCCGGTGAGAAAAGACTCTCAGGAGAGAAATGAGAATACATCTCATGCGTTAATCCTATGTTTTTAACGACACAAAGATATTGATGCACGATTATTACGCTGCACTTGATTACATGATATCACTTCCCTAAAAAACTAAATGCGTGTATGCTTATTTGAGGAGGGCATATCAGTAACTCCAAGATTAATTACCTTATATACCCATACGTACAATTTAACACATTCCTTATCAATATGCAACCACCCACTTTTTTTCCTAAATTTTTGTGCTGTTCATAAATAATGTTCTTTCCCCCACTATCATAATATAATAATAATAGTTATAATAATATGAGCTACGGAGTATTGTTTATCATTCACTTGCATCCGTATTTTATTAATACAATACATATGTGCAGTTTGTTTTCTATAAGAATGCAATATGTTCACACCGAAAGTGCACAAGTAAATAAACCGAGTCATCTTTCATTGTGTTAGATCAATTATCATTTGATTTTTTTTAAATACATCTAGATTATGTGCATTTTTAGGCATAGAGGTGCACATTTTAAGTAAAAAAGAATAATGAAGTTATGAAAAAAATTGTTGTGCAAAAATGAATCCTTTAAGTACGTGAAAATGACTATTTTAAGTTATTGGTTTCTACGGTATACTCAAAAGTAAAAGTGCATTGAAATAATTAAGTGGATGTACAATATTGATGAAACCATTACACAAAAAAGTATATTCAAAGTGGAACAAATTGAATGTAAAGGTGTATTAAGATATTAAGTATATATATGCACTAATGCATTATTCATAAATTCATTATGCACTAAAATATATTTCAAGGTGCACTCTGTAGAGGTGATATATATATATATATATATATATATATATATATATATATATATATATATATATATATATATATATATATATATATATATATATATATATAGGTTTTGGATCAAATAAAAACCTTTCTTAACGTAAAAACTAAAAACCGTTCACTTTTATCCAAATGTGATGCACTTTAAGGGTGATCTGTTGCACTTTTTGAACTTCACTCGAACCATGCTAAATAAATAAAATTCGGAGGCATTTTCGTAAATATGTCAAAATTTCCTGTCAATGCGAAAAAGTGCAGCACAGAAACGTAATAGTGCATCACATTGTGAAAAAATGGACGGTTTGCAGTTTTCACGATAAGAATGGTTTTTATTTGATCCATACCCTATATATATGTATGTATATATATATATATATATATATATATATATATATATATTTAGGATCAAATAAGAACAATGCTTAACGTGAGAACGTGAGAACGTCATATTTACCCCAACGTGTTACACAACGAAGCTTCTATATTGCACATTTTCACATTTTCACCATATTTACCAAAACGCCACCGTGTTTCTTTAATATAGGCTTAACTCGAGCAAATTGAAAATGTGCAATAGAATAACTCCATTGTGCACCACGTTGGTTTGAATGTGACCGTTATCACGTTCTCACGTTAAGCATCGTTCTCACTGGAACCGCACCATATGTGTGTGTGTGTGTGTGTGTCTATATATATATATATATATATATATATATATATATATATATATATATATATATATATATATATATAGTGGAGGGTTCAAATACAAAGAGGTCTTCCCATGCAAAGTGAGAATTAATCTTGTGCGTTCATTTTGAGATCTAATGGCTCAAAATGAGCCAAAAGTGAACTAAATTCGATCAAAAACGCGGTGGCAATTTCGTAATTAAAATGAAGTTTTTTGCCATCGCGAAAAAGTGCAACAGAAACACGCAAAAGTGCAACGCGGTGAAGAAAAAGTGCAATTGTTCGCACTTTGCACGAGAGAACCTCTTTTTATTTGATCTCTTCCCTATATATACATATGTGTATACATATATGTATATATATACATATAATATATGATCTTAGGAGAGAAATGAGAATGAATCTGGACCGTTAGATTAGCTTTAACTGAAATTCAATGTGCACTAGATGAAACTATAATATGCATTAGATGAAATTGAATTGTGGAGAACAAATTATACCATACAGTGGCATTATGTGAAGTTGAATTGTGCATTAGGTGAAATTAAAATGTGCATTAGGTGAAGCTGAAATGTGGTGAAATAAAAGGTACGATGTGATGTTATTTTTGTAACTTTTATTTCGTACATTTCAGTTTCACCTAATGCACACTTGAGTTTAAATTTTTATTCTGCACATTTCAATATCATCTGATGCACATTACAGTTTCACTAAATACACAATCCAGATCCACATAATACAATCCAACGGTCCAGATTCATTCTCATTTCTCTCCTGGGAGTCCGTTCTTACCGCTCCCTCATTTCCAATGTCATTTGCTTCTTTATTTCAATAATTGGTAACACTAGGTTTGAAAAAAATGATAAAAACCATTAAAACTCGAACATGAATAAAACCTCAGAAATGAAAATGTAAATTTACATGTAACGTAAACCTAAAAAAACTGAAAACTTATCAGGTTCATTTGAAATGATCCTTTTTGCCCTTCAACTCATGGTGTTGGTCGATTTCTAGAGCTTCAATTAAAGAGCCCAATCTAAAAAAGAAAATAGGAGTCTACATGAAAGAAATCCTATTAAAGATGAGTGAAATAAAAGAAGAATCCTATTGAACAATTCCTTTTGCTCAAGTTAACATCGACTTTGGAGGAGCATCATGGACCTACCTTATTTAGTTAGAAGGGGAAAGAATAAGCCGGTTTAGGAATGAAATTCATGATGATACAGGATGGAAATGAAGACCATGTAAATAATATTTTCGTTGACGATTTCGCTAATGCACGGGTGAACATTACGGGGTGCTGAAATTTCTGGATTTCACAAACACCTATATTATCCATTATAGATCCTGTAGTGGATAATTAAATATATAAAAAGAGACAAAGAAAATTGATAATCTCATTTAATTTCAAATGCGCACACACACATATACGGAGGCATGATCCACCTGTTCCACTCAATGTCTTTTTGAACTTAAAGCAAAGTATGTACCTAATCTCATTTAATTTCAAATGCGCGCACACACACATATGGAGGATAACTCATTTCCTACCCCTCAAAACCTATGTTCACACCTTAATACATTGTGTTAGAAAAAATCAATCATCATGGGATGGTTACCTTCAGCTACATTGAACAATGCATAGCCTCACAATGGTGGATTACCTTCTAACATCTGATGACCCAATTCCACAGTTCAATTCATTTATATGAATCCTAACATGTATGCTTTTCATTGGTATGAGGTGAGAAGTAGCAAAATAACCTCGTGTAATATCATTTCAAAAGAGTAACACCATCGACCCTCCTGTCATATCTCCTGTGCTCAATAACTTGAGGGGCCTTATAATGATCTTAAAGAAAGAAGATGGTAAAAAGAGAGTACCTTAATTAAAAGGTCGGATACGCCCCCAGCCAGCCATGTTAGAAGACAGAAAAACACATACAACTCTCAGTTTCTCCTCACATTTTATAGACATCATGAGAATTCTAAACCTTTATGAGTTTCCTTAATCGAAAGTCTCCAACTATATGAGCTTCGATATTCATCCTTACAAAATACTGTGTTTGTGAGACACATTTTAAAAACTCAACCCACAACTTGGCCATTTTCCACACCTGTGAGTAAAATGATGTGAAGAATACAGTCATTTGTTGGATGTGTATCCATATCAGAAAATACTATCACCTCATTATATGATATCCGCAATTTTCTCATTTTAAAAGATAAGAAACTTATTAAAGTAAACTCTAAAAATGTCCAGAGTTGTATTCTGAAAATATGAATTGAAAACCATAAAACACAATTGGAAGTGAAAATAAGGTTGTGACATGATGTAGTATTATGGTGCTTATTCAAGATCAATGTCACACCTCAAATGCATTCGGCCTAC